GCGCGCGCTCCGGGGCGGCCTCCTGGGCTGACACCGCCTCTGCGGAGGACACCCCCCATCTTCCCCGGACATCTGTCCCCACCTGACCTGCCAGCTCACCTCCCAACTTTTCAGGGTCGAGGACGCTGACCCCGCCCGCGGGTCGGAGGTGGATGAGGGAGCCGGGCGAACAAGCCGCACCCTTCCCACCCCCGCCAGGAGGCCTCCCTGTACTGGCGCGAACAGGGCCTGCAAAAGGGGGTTCTCTCCCAAGCCCGCCCTTCCCCCGGTAGAAGGTGTCGGGGGTTAAAATGTTCGCTTTGCCCTTTCTCTTGATCTTGGCGGGGCGGGGGGAAAGCGGGAACTGCTGGCACCTTTATGGGCCTTAGACCTGTGGCGGAGCAGTCCCAGCCCCACTAACTTTGATCAGCCCTATTAATTCCAGCTGCGCTCTATTTGTTTGTCATTTTCCCCTTTTCCTGCGCAATCATTATTTATGGCAGAGGAAAAGAAAAAAAAAAAGTGCCTGAAGTAGCATGGAGGGAGAGAGGGGTTTCTGACAAGGAGAGCAGTGAATGTGTTTTCCCTAAAGGTCACCAACAGGAGGGGCCTGGTCTGATCATCTCCCCTCTGAATCACTCCTCTAGAGCATTAACTTAATTATGCGATCAGAGAAATGAAAAAAAAAGTCTCTAAAATAACCAAAGGTAATTATAACCGTGTTGTTGACACTAATGGTTAATAATTGATCAGGACTTACACACAATCAATTGCCAGTTTATCCCCCCCACAAAACCCTGAGTGATGTACTGTTACTCCGCTGCTTCCCCTGGGCACTGCCTACCAAGCTCCACTGCTGCAGCCAACAGCCTCCCGCTTGCTTCTTTAAGAGCCTTCCATTTAATTTGTTTTCAGTTTCATCCGGAACAGACTAACATGGGGATGCCTTTTAAAAAGGCCTTTCCTTATTATCCTGGAGCCACCCTTAAACAAAGGCCATTCTTCCTCTTTCCTTTTACCTGGGGTTGCAAAAGAACAGTCCTGGGTTTCCTAGGCCACCCTATTTGCATTATATTACCAGGAGAGTCCTCCTTCCTAACATCTTCAGTTTTTATCTTTCTTAGAAAGAGCGTGAACACGGTGCCCTCAGCAGAGGGAAGGGAAACCTGTCCTCTGCCTGGAGGGTGGAGGGTGAAGGTGCCAGCTAAGACAACGTCCCTCTGTTTTCGTCCCTCTTTCAACGCAGGTGAAAGAGTAGACTGGGGCTTGCAGAAGGGGGTTTGCTCCCCAAACCTGGGGTGGGAGTGCTTTCCCTCTCACTTACCAAGGCCTGACTTCCAAGCACACAGCATCAAACCCCAGCTTCCTCGCCTGCAGCCCAAGCGCAGGGGAGGGCTGGCGTGTGCTTTCCTTACTGCCAATAGAAAGTAATTTCCAGCAACTGGAAAATTATATTGTCATAGATTACTTCTCCTTATAATAAGCCTTTAAAATATCTGTAGGGATTTGTCACTTACATAAAGGTTTGCAAATACATCAAAGGGACATGTCCCCTTTGCGATTTGTAGAAATTCAAATGCTGTTAATCATAACATCCACATATCACAGACTGTTGTGTATTGTTCCCAAGACTGCCTCTTGAGTTAACACATTTTTTTAAAGTGTTTACAATGTTGTTTTTAAAAAGCAGTGTAAAAACACATATTTAATGGGTCTATTTATGTCCTTAATTTGGGGGTTAAAATGAATGCTCTCCTTAGGATTGTCAATACACTGGGGAACTAAAGGAAAATTATATGGTGGGTGATCATTGGAGACTGTTACTTGGAGGAACTTTGTAATAATCCAGCGTATTATTTACACTTGAAAGAGATGCTCTGACTTCACAGATAAATGGCTTTGGATGATTTTGGCAAACGATTGACTGTTTACTTCGACTTAAGCGGAGAAAGTTTAGGGCATACTTTCTGTCCCGTTTAAGAAACAAAAGATCGAATTGACTTAGCTTCTTTGATAATATCTCGATGCGGTGTGAGATGACCCCAAAACTAGCAGCAGCGCGCACGGGCCAGGCCCGCAGGTGCCGGCTGAACATGCGCGGGGCGGGCCTCACGGGGACCGGCTACTCGCCGCCTCCTGGACCAGCTCGGTGGCGGCGGCGGCGGCGGCGCCGCGGGCTGCGCGGAGCACCGGTCCTTTCCACTCCGCAGAGCCCCGCCGCCTGGCCACAGACAAAGGTGGATGAAGTTCTTTTCAAGTTTCAAAGGCAGTTGCGCAGCAGCTTTGCAGAAACAATAACTCTTTTATTGGGAACAAATGTTGACATTTGACTGGCGCGGGAGGCCGCTCGGGAGGCCGCGGCCGCCGGGCCAGCGCCCCGCTTGCTCTCGGCCCGGCCCCCGGGGTCCACCTGAGATTAAAGCGCGAATTCCGATAAATCGGCTCTGACGCGCCCCGGGTGGCGCGGGGCAGAGGCCGGCGGGCCGGACCGCACGGGCTCCATCCTGCGTCCCCGCGGCCCCGCGCTCGCCGCCGAGCGCCTCCCTCTCCCCGGCCTCCGCTAACATCGGAGAAAGTCTCCGTGGGCCGGGACGTAATGTTTGATTAGCTGAATTTTAAAGCAGAAGAGAGAAATCAGACACAGGAACCCCCTTCCCTGTGAAGAGCCTCTCGGTAAGGATCTGCAACGGAGGAGCCATAAAACGCCCTCTTTGCACTCTGCATTTCCTTAAGAAAGATCCCTCTAAACACCTGCAGGCTTTCTGTGCATACCTTTTTAAAAATCAAGTTTTCCCAAAGAAATTCAGGTCAGGTGGCAGGGTGGGTAAGTTATGGAAATCTTTGATAATTTGTTTGGCATATAAACATCAAAGAGGATTCGTTAGTCTGGGCTAATCTCCCAAGCTGCTCTGAGTTTGCACCAGTTGAAAGGTGCAGATTGTCCCTGAGAAGGAGGTCTGGGTGTATGTATGTGTGTGTGTGTGCGCGCGTGCGCGTGCATACCCGTGTGTGCAGCGAAGGGATCATGTATCCAGGTAAAACAATCTTCTGCTCCAAAGGGAGGCAGTTTTCACCCAGGCTTCAGTTTCTGAACATGTGCAGGGAGATCAGTTTTACTTGGTCTCCTCCTTCTCCCGCGTCTTTAAGAGCCCGACTGCTGTCACTACACATCTTCATCAGGGGGCATGGTTTTTCAGTGCCTATTTGTTAACTATCGTTAACTTTCATACTTTTCACCCGTCTTCAAATTAGAATATCACATACAGGAAACATTGCTATCATGGGGGGGTGGATTCTCTGCTGATTTAGGAAATACGGCCAATGTTAATAAAAGCAAAACCACTTAACATCTTCAGACTGCAATGTCAAATGCTATCTGGAGGGAAAATCATTATCCTCAAGGTAATTCCACAAAGGTTCCATCTGAAACAAAAGCAGGCAAAGGAGCTCCTAGCTCCCTTTTATGTGCACAGACTCAAATCTGTTTTCCTCCAGACGGGCTGCCACAGAGCAACCAGGCTTCCCACTTGAAAAATCTTCCCTGTCTCCAAGAGATAGCTCGACTCCAAACATGTCCAGGTCTCCTACTAGGGGAGGCAGGAAGGAGAAAAAAACAGTTTTCTACCCGCAGAGATTCGCTTTCTGCTAACCTCCGATCGCTTATCTACTCCAAGCCAACAGAATGCCTGAGAGGGAACAGAAAACCGAAACCGTGGTCTGCGCATTCCTGGGCAGTCAGACCCCGTAACAGACAGGGCTCTTTGACCAGTTCACAGCCCCCCAGCTTTGCCTCAAGTATCTAAGATTACTTTCAAATACCCTTTCTAACAAGACCCCAGCAAGAGGCCACTAATTTCCACGGCACAAAAAGCCACTGGAGAGAGATCCGTTTGTCAATATCAACTGGTCCGGCCATTTCCCATCCTCAGACACATCGGCCTATCAGAGCCGGCAGATGTTTAGACAAGATTTTATAAATTGTTCAATATCAGCCCATAATGAACCCCAACTGACCATTCCAAAGCAGCTAAAAGCATCCGGGCCGACCCCCGCTGGGATCCAATAATGCGCTCAGGCTGCAACATTATTAATCATGGAATAAAATAGATGAACCTCTTGAAAAATAAGTGTATGATTGATTAAAGGGCAATCTAAGAAGCTATTATTCTTGTTTCATAACCGTAAGTTATATTCACTCAATTTATCTTTGGAGAGGAAATAAATGATTGTTCATTTCTTTTCTGAAATTATATTATATGGGTATCCATATAATTTTGCTGAAAATTAAAGTGACAGTATTGCTGCTTTTATGATACTAATCAAAGGGAATATGTTCCTTGACTACAAATTGTAGACTTGTCCTAGAATTAGGTAGTGAGTCACACAATAACGAGGCAATAGTCTAGGGTTCTTTAAACTTTTCTTTCCCCCCAGGGCAAGGCTAAGAGCCACTGAAAGGAAAATGAATCTCTCCTCCCCAGATTTTCACCTTGTGTTTAACATGAGTTATATGAAAAGGAGAGTTAAGAAGTCGGTCAATAAATCTGAAAAATCTACGCCAATTTGGATAATTCAAATAAACAAACAATTATTTCACTCAATAATTTATGGTGGGGGCATCATTTATACCTCATATTATCCACATTATCCACTCACAATACTCTAGTTACTGAGGAGGCTCAGTAAGCCCAGAAATAAATGTCCAAGGGATCCTAATGCATGGGGTATCAGATCATTTTATTTTGCCAAGTTTTTTAAATGTACACTAACAATCCATTTGCATATTCAGAACACAAAATCCAGATTTTCTTATAATGCATGTGTATATAAATAATGTAAAACCATGCGTATCTCCCTACTGTGTACTGCTTGCCTCTGCCTTCTTGCAGGAGCAGAAGGAAGGGATTACTTTACACATTTTCATTAAGAGACTGAGGTCAGACCACCTGGGGGAGGGGCTGCTATCACCAGGGCTCCCCACCCGAAGACTCTTCCAGGACAAAGGAGCCCCAAACACCACATTGTTGTAGACTAGTTTGTTTTTATTTACAATTTAAGATATAAATTAGTAAAGAATTCTTGTTAAACAACCAACAAAGATTGTATAACCAGCAATGTTCAAATAAAAACCAGGCAGAATTTATTTACAAAAGGTTTAGATTCCATTGCAATACAACTTGCATAAATTACTAGAAGCTTTATATCATTATAAAAATAAATATCAAATTTGTTTCCACTTCTTAAGTACTCAAGTTCTATAATCACGTTTTATTTCTACTGTGTACATCTTTTACAAATAAATTTTACAGTAAATCCTATCACACCTATAGAATATATACCGTGGCAATGAAGTGATCAATTCAAGATATCCTGAGAAAAAAGATTGTTTTCAAAAGTCACACATACATTGGGGAAGCTATACTATGCCAACAAATTCACGTATGTCCAACAAAAGTCTGTTCCGATAGAGTCTGTGGGTTGGCAGTGCCCTGTGGGTCCTTCCTTTTTACAGTGGCACAAGATGCGGTCCGGATTTAGAGGTCATTATATATATATATATATATCTGTATATTTATGAACTTGGGAGGAGAGAATGGCCTGCTGACTTTTATTTTTCCAAAGCAATTGTGACACCTACCTGTGGACCAAGGAAAAAACCAAGTCATCCCAAATCCTTCAGCCCCCATCAGTATCACCACATTCTAAAAAGGGTCCATCTCAAAAGGTTTCGCTTCTTGCCCACCTTCAAGATCTGTGATGAGTAATTCTGCCTACTTGTAAAGTAGTTTTCTTTTCGAGATACTACTGTCAGCCAGGCAAACTGCGGATCCTATCTAGTCCATCTGGACACGGGGACAGGCCTGATAAAAGACTAGTATTTCGATGTCTCTCCAGTCTGACTGCAAATGTCATCTAGAAAGGGGTCTGATACCCCCAGTTTCAGGAGCACTAGCTCTGGAAAGCAAGTGCCTTTTAAGTGTCTAGCGTAGTTTTTTAAGGTTCCAAATTGCATACAAATACCCAGATTTTAAGAATCTGTTTTTCCAAAGAGAAAACAACAGCAGTGATGCAATGAATATAAGTGACTTCTTTTTTTAAGCAGAATTTGAGCAAAAAAAAAAAAAAAAGAGGAGCTCTCAAAGCAGCATAATCCTCTCCCACTTAAAAAAAATAAAGAGAAGTAAGGCTATCCTCAGACCCCATGACAAGAAGCAAGAAACACACATAAGGCGAATTTGCTGGGCAATTGGTGCCGGGAGGTTCTGCAAGGGGTGTGGGGAGGGGGGACCCCAGGGAGCCACTTACTTGCATTGCTGGCCCTTCTATAGGTAGGGCTGGACGCCCCCACCAACCACGGTGCAGCCCTCGCTGGCATCTGTCAGGGGAGGGGGCAGTTAGTCAGGACCCGACCCCAGAGCCATCTGCCTCCCGACAGCCTCACGGCCACCAGCCCCGCGCCACCCAGGCACGCCTTGCCCTTCCCCGAACCCCCAAGCGTCTGGAGGACCCGCTGCACCCCGCCACCACCCGCCACCTGAGACAAGCGCCTGTCACATTTCTGCATTTTCTGCCCCCTTGACCTCCTTTACAGGTCTGATCGGCTCAAGCCTCCATTAGGAGTAACAGAGGCGAGGCAAAGAAAGGGAGGGAGAAAACGGACTCTGGTTTTCTGTTCTGGCGATTTAGAAAGCGGAGGCCCCTGGGAGGAAGCAGAAGGCTTTATCTCCTTGCAGCCGAAGGCAGAAGAGGAGATTGAGCTGAGACTAGGAACCGACAGAAAGCGCGGAGGCTGACGCCCACCCCGGAGGGAAGCTACATTTGGCGTCGATTTGTATTTGCCAAACTGAAAACAGTCCGGACGACACCAACAACAGGAATAATAAATCAAATGAAAAGCCAGTAATAAGGGGGTCAGTTCTGTCGCGGTCTCGAGGAAGGATCGCCTGGCCCCCCACCCACTTTCTGTCTTCACCCGCCCCCCTTCACTTCTAACTTGGGAGTGCAAAGCCGTCCGTTACCCGTTCCCGGTTAAAGGACAGAGCTTTCCTGGCCAGACCTACAGGTGCCCAGTTCCCTTCCCCGGCTCCTGCGGGGTGCTTGCCCGCCGGGCCCCGCCGCCCCCCTCCCTCCGCCCCCGGGCCCCGCGGGTCGCCTACCTTTCTTGGGCTCGTAGCCGCCGCCCGGGGGCCGGTAGTGGGGCTCCGGGAGCGGGTGTGCGCCCGCCTTGCCCGCATCGCTGGCGGCCTTGGGCGCGGCGTGCAGCGCCTCTCCGGGGGCGGCGGCCGCCGAGTTGTACCGCAGCAGGCCCTGGCCCTGCAGCGCAGCATTCAAGTTCCCGTAGTTTGTGTAGCTGCCGTAGAAGGGCGACGTGTAGTAGAGGTGGCGGCCAAGCAGCGGCGACGCGGGGTAGGGCGAGCCGCCCGGCGGCGCCCCGCTCGTCCGGCTGCCCAGGGGCGTCTTGCCGCCCCCACCCCCGCGGGGCGCGGCCTCGGGCGGGGGGCTCAGCAGCGGCGGCGCCTCCACACCAGTGAGCGGCGACGAGGTCACGGGCTTGGGCGGCGCCAGGTCCCGCTCGGCGTCCTCGTCGTCGTCCTCGTCGTCCTCCAGGTCATCGTACTTCTCCTTGCACTCCGAGCCCGACTCGCACAGGGGGTCCCCGGCGCGGCAGGGCAGCTTCTCTCCGTCCGACTCGGCGGAGCACGAGTGGTCGGTGAGCGAGTCCACGTGCAGGCTGATCCCTGCAGAGGCGCGGGGAGGGGGGGGGCACGGTCTTGGCACCCGGGGCCCCGCTGCCCACCGCTCCCCACCCCCTCGATCCCTCAACCCCGACCCCACCCGAGCCACGTCCTCCGGGCAGCCTGACCTCCCTGCTTGCGCGCTGCGAGCGGGAGGCGCTCTCGCTGGGCCCCGGAGGCGCCGGGCGGACGGGCAGCCTGCTCTCCGGCCTCAGCTCGGCGCCCCGCCTGGGAAGAAGGCGGCTCTGGCGCCCCAGCGCCGCCTCGGCCGAGCTCACCTTCATCCTCCGCCGACGTTTCGGTGCCCTCCTGGGCCTTGTCGGCACTCTCTTCCTTGCCCCTTGCCGCGTCGCCCTCGTCCTCGTCCTCATCTTCGCTTTTGTTTCTGGGGGCCCACGTCATCTTGTTCTCCTTCTTGAGGCGCCGGCGCGCGTTGGCGAACCAGGTGGAGACCTGCGTGAGGGTCATCTTGGTGATGATGGCCAGCATGATCTTCTCGCCCTTGGTGGGGTAGGGGTTCTTGCGGTGCTCGTTGAGCCAGGCCTTGAGCGTGGCCGTGGCGTCCCGCGTGGCGTTCTTGCGGTAGGCCGGGTCGTTGAGCTGGTACGGGTAGGCCGCGCTGCCATAAGGGTGGTAGCTGATGGCGCCCGTCATCCCGGTCGTGTGTGCGTCGTAGGGCGCTCCCTGCAACCGACAAGAGCCTGGTGAGCGGTCGTCCGAGGGCCCGACAGGCGTCAGCACCCCGGCGACCCCTCCGCCCGCCCGCGGCCGCCTTTCCCACGGTGCCTCCCGGCGCTGGGAGTGCGCCTTCCCGCAGCAACAGATCGGAGGACGCAGCGGGTCGTTTGACGCCAGCTGTGGATCTCGGAAAGCGCTGCGGTTTTATTCCCAAATTTTCCAACGATTTCATTTTCCTAAAAATGACACATCTGGCCCCAAGTGCCCCTGAGCCTCTGGCACGGGCGTGCACGAACAGGCCCGCACACACAGGCTCGCAGGTAGCTTCTTGATATCTAAATTTCTCCTGGTGTGAAGAGTCGCCGCCTCCTCCTACTCCCGTTCCCCTCCCTTAAATGGTTAAAAAAAACACCCCAGAGCCCCCGCTCCGCTATTCACAGCTCTAAAGCTCGGCAAATCCAATTTGCAACTCGAAGCCAGTCACCGTTTCGAATTCTTCAAATACGCGGCAATTAGCATTTTAATTCAGCCTTTAACGTTTAAATTCGAGACTTCTACAGCCAGCACCGAGGCCCCGGCTACCCGGTCTCTGCTCTGGAATTCCGCCGAGGGCGGGAGGTGGCCACCATGCCCCCCTGTCCGGGCCTCCAGTGTCTAAAACGCACTTTGCCAGCCCCCGGGCCTGGCCGGGCCGCGGAGCCTGAGGAGCGCGGGCCAACCCGGGGGCCCCTGACGCAGGGGCTGCTCTCGGCGCGCGGGACCGAGGCGGCACTTAGCGGGCCGCACGCCGGCCGACATGTTTTTCTAAAGCACCGGCCTGTGGGGCAGACGAAGGCGAAGATCTGAGCGGCCCGGCCGGGCCCCGGAGCCGCGGCGGAGGCTCCGCTGATTTCCCCAGTCCTGTGACCCCCAAGCCCCGCGAGGAAGTACCCAGCGCCTGGCGATCGCCCCGGAGGCCCCAGGGGCGCCGACCCTTACTCCCCGCACCGGAAGAAGCGAGCCCCGGCCAGCTCAAGACTCCTCGCCCAGCTTCGGCGCCTGAAAGAGGGCCACCCAGGCCAGATCCCGTCCCGACCCCAGCGGAGTCGCACTTCTCGGGCTCGGGGGAGATGACCTCGACAGCCGAAGGGAAGGGCGCGCGGAGCCCCGCGCTCCGGACTTCGCCGGCCGAGCGCCCCGCCTCTCGTCCCCGCCGGCCTCGCTACGGCCCCAACTCCGCGACTGCGGAGCCGCCTCCCACACCACGTTCCCCGCGACCCTCCGGCTCGCCGATCACAGACCAGGGTCTCTGCTCCCTGCATCCCGCGACCCCGCCCGCCAGCCCGCGCTCGGTTACCATGTAGGACGGGAAGCCGGCGGCGGCGGCGGCGGCGTCGGCGGCAGAGTACTGCAGCGGGCTGCCGAAGCCGGTGGCCGCCTGCGCGGTGAAGGCCGCGGAGCCGGGGTAGGGGCTGAAAGCCGAGCCCGACGCCGACCGCGCCAGCTCCTCGCTGCGCGGCGCCGCCAGCGCAGACGCGCCGTACGCCGGGCACGAATATAGCGCCAGCGAACCGGGCGCCTGGTACAGGTAGCCCTGCGGGTAGGACATGGTGGGCGCGGGGCGCGGGGGCCCGCGTCACGCCGAGCAGCGGGCAGGGCGCGCGGCGCCCTCCNCTTCCCGGCCGCCCCCCTCGCCCCAGCCCGCCACTCTGCCCCCTCTCCCTGCCCCGCCCCCAGCTCGGCCCGCAAGGACCCGGGCAGAGGCCGCCCGCTGCCACTTGGGGGGGAGGGGTGGAGGAGCGGCCCGGGCCCCCCTCACAGGCCGCGGACCGCGCGCCGGACCCTCGTGCCCGGGTCGGAGCTACGGGTGATGCGGCCGGAGTGCGGCACCATGGCCCGGGTCCTCCTGGGGGCGGCGTGCGCGGCTCTCTCGCCCACCTCCCCCGGTCCGTCCCTGCTTGCCGCACGGGGCGAGCCTCCACGCGGGGTCTCGCGGCCCGGGCCCCCCTCACAGGCCGCGGACCCTCGTGCCCGGGTCGGAGCTACGGGTGATGCGGCCGGAGTGCGGCACCATGGCCCGGGTCCTCCTGGGGGCGGCGTGCGCGGCTCTCTCGCCCACCTCCCCCGGTCCGTCCCTGCTTGCCGCACGGGGCGAGCCTCCACGCGGGGTCTCGCGGCTGGCCGCCGGCCCCGCACCGCCCCGGCGTGCCCCCGCGGACCCGGATCCCGGGCGCCTTCGTCGCGAGCCTCCAGGAGGGCCCTGAGGTGAGCTCTCTGCCCCGAGGTCCGCAGTGGCCAGCGGGCCCTGGGTGTCAGGACTCTGCTCTCGGATGAGGTTTAGCCCGCGCCTCCAGTGCTTCTCCAGGACGCCGCCGCCTCCCCCAAAGGGTTTTTTATTTTGTTTTAATAAGTTGACGCCTCTTTCGGATTTGTATTGTAAAGCACTCGGGGGAAACGATCGTCAGCGGACAGACCGCCTCTGGCAGGACGTGGAGCCTCGCTGTCACTCGGGAAGGGACGAGACAGTCACAGGCCGGGGGCGCGGGCGGCGCACGCGGTTGCCCACGTAGCGCAGGTAACAGGCGACCCGGGGGCCGCCTCGCGGGGCCCAGCGGCGATGCGCTCGGCAGGAAGCTCTGGGACCCAGTCCCACAGACACTCTTCTCCATGGGCCTCCTCCACCCTCCCCCACCGGGGCCGTGGAGGAGGGCGTCTGGTGTTTGGGCTGGGGGGTGGGTGGCAGATGGGGCCACCGATGGGCGCTTAGGAAGTGGACGCACGGTTGGGTGGGGGGACGGCGGGTTGTGCGAGGCCCCGGCGTGGTGGTCAACACAACAGGTGCCTCTTCCTGCGGGGGGCGGGGAACGCGGTAGGCCATAGCTCCGGGCCGCAGCCTCTCCTTCCCCCACCCCCCTACCCGCCCCCCTACCCACCCCCTACTCC